CCCACGCCGCATGCCTCCCCCACTGCCAGGATCCCTCCCCTGATCTCCCCCGGCCTGGCTCCCCACTCTGCTCGCCTCCCCCTCTGCTGGGATCCCATCCCCGATCCCCACTGGCCTGTGCTCCCCACGCAGTCCACCTCCCCCTCTGCTGGGATCCCTCCCAGGATCTCCCCCAGCCTGCACTCCCCCACACCACCCACCTCCCCCACTCCTGGAATCCTTCCCCTGATCCCCTCAGCCGGCCTGCGCTCCCCACGCCTCCCACCTCCCCCACTGCTGGGATGCCTCCTCTGACACCCCTCCGGCCTGCGCTCTCCAGGCTGCCCGCCTCCCCCACTGCTTGGATTCCTCTCCCAGTCCCACCCCCTCCCCCAGCCTTCGATCCCTACGATGCCCACCTCCCCCTCTTCTGGGATCCCTCCCTGATCTCCCCCTGGCCTGCGCTCACCACGTTCCCCACCTCTCCCTCTGCCAGGATCCCTCCCCCGACCCTCCCCCGCAGCCCACTCTCCCCATGAAGCTCCACATGCCACCCAGCTCCCCCACTGCTGGGATCCCTCCCTGTATCCCCCTGGCCTGTGCTCCCCAGGCCACCCACAGGTGCTGGGGGTACCAGGAGGCCAATGTGCAAACAGCGCAGGGCTGGGCTAGCTGGGCGCTGCAGGTCAAGACTGAGGGGCACTGGCAAAGTGGGGGTGGGGGTGTAGATCTAGTTTTTGGGTGGGGGAGGGCAGTGCTTGGCTGATGAAGACACTGAGTCCTGGGAAGTTATTTATTCCTTTCCAAAGTGCTGAGTCCCATGTCTCTATAAATATCCCATAGTGGATCTGTCTGCTCCCACAGGGCCCTCAAGGGCAGGAGTCAGCATGGAGAGAGCAGTGCCCTGTGGGGGCGCCATGCTGTGAGCTTCCTTGCAGCAGTGCCCAGATGGGGCCCAGTGCTGTGAGTTTCCCCACAGCAGCACCTTACCTGTGCCTAGCTGGGACTCCAGTGAGCAGGGTTTGTAGGGGGGTGTGGGGAAACCCCTGCAGGCGTGGCAGGAGGGGCCAGAGGCTGGGGGAGGAGCCTGTGTCCTGTGCAGGCCTGGGGCTGGCTGAGCAGGTAACTAGGCAACCAGCTTAGGAATTGTTGTCAACTGTGATTAGTGCCTGGGATAATTACCCCACTGGGGCTGGGAGGAAGCAAACAGTGTGGGGGAGGGGCATCGCACCCCAGCTCTGCCAGTGCCCCTCACTCCCAACCCACAGCCCCCTGCTAGCTCAGCCATGGACACCCCCAGCTCTGCCAGTGCCCCTCACTCCCAACCCGCAGCCCCCTGCTAGCCCAGCCAGGGACTCCCCCAGCTCTGCCAGCGCCCCTCACTCCCAACCCGCAGCCCCCTACTAGCCCAGCCATGGACACCCCCAGCTCTGCCAGTGCCCCTCACTCCCGACCGTCCCTGCTAGCCCAGCCCTGCCCCCCCTCCCCCAGCTCTGCCGGTGCTCCTCACTCCCGACCTGCAGCCCTATCATTTGCTACCAGCCCCAAACAAAAACCCTCGTTCTCGGGATTTATTCAGTGCATTAAAAGATTCATGAGCCACAATTGCTTCTGTCCCAGTTTATCAGGGACTCCACCCAGCCCCCGCTCCCCTCGCCCCCTCCCCTCCGCCCAGTTGCCTCAGCTCTCCCTGCTCCCCTCGGCCCCCCCGCCCAGTGCCCTCAGCTCCCCCCAGCCCCCTGCTCCCCTCAGCTGTGGGGAGGCTGTGGGAGAGTGGTGGTATGTACAATGTGTGTTTGTGTGACTCCGGATTAACCCCTGGAGCTGAGCTCAGAGCCCGGCCCTGCCCCCCTGGCAGTCAGGGGTGACTCCAGATTGACTCCTAGAGGGGCCAGCTGAGCTGAAAGCCTGGCCAAGGTGCCCTGCATTCCAGGCTGGGCCCCACCCAGCTGTGCTGTGGTATCAATAATAAATGCTGGGGGCCGACCCGCTGCAAGCCACGCCCATCTGGGTTCTGGGATTTCCTGTGCAGTGCAGTGTCCGGCCTTTCTTCTCTGGCCCTGGACCCAGCCCCGTGGCATTAACTGCTTCACTGCCCAGCCCCTCAGCACCCTGCCCCGGAGTCACCACGGCACAGAGCCCAGCCAGAGCAAGAGCACAGCGTGGGCTGCTCCTCCCTGGCCAGCTGCTTCCAGCTCGGCGGGCAGCCAGCACCATCCCAGCAGTCGCCACAGTTCGGCACGTCGCCCCTTCTGGACCAGCCCGGCTCGTCCCTGCACCAGGCGGGGCCCCTGCTGAGATCCTGGGGGGTTATATTTCCCCCCGGGACCGGGATTCAGCCTGCACCTTCCTCGCCCCCCACCCCCACCCCCACCCCCACCCCAGCTGCGATGCTGGCAGGAGCCCAGCCTTCAATTCCCAGCCCTGCATTCACCCGAGGGCCCCCCTGGCTGCCCCAGATGCCCTGGCGGCTCCCTCTACTGGTGAGACAATAGCACTGCGGCTGTCGTGCTGGCCCAGGACTGCCGGCCGAGTCATGTGCCACCCTGCTGAACCCAGTGGGGTTTCGGTCGCCTGCTGCTTCCCACCCCAATCGCCAGCTCCCCTGCCTGGCTCCCCCACAGCTCTTCCACCTAGCTCCCGCCTCCCAGCTCCCCTGCCTGGCTCCCCCCGGCTCCCCTGCCTGGCTCTCCCTGGCTTCCCAGAGCTGGCTTCTTTGAAGTGCTTGGGGCCCCATGTCCGCTGCCCAGCAGGTCACCTGCTCAGCTGAGGCCCATGCCCTCAGCAGCAAAGGGCACATGCCTCTGCTGCCTGGGCTAAACAGCCCTAGATCTGCCCGTGACTCATACGCAGGCCTGGGGTGCACGCTGGGCTGCACAGGTGAAGGCCCCATTGCCATGGTAATTGGTAACAATGAACCAGCAACCTCTCCGGGTGTGCACTGCAATACAGGGTGTGGGGCAGGACTCCTGGGTTCTGGAAGAGCAGGAGAAATTTAGTGGTTAGAGGGAGGAGTGGGGCGGCAGGAGGCCTGGGTTCTGCTATGGATTTTCTGAGTCACTGTGCCTCACTTTCCCCCGCTGTGAAATGGGAGTGAGCGCCCCTTGCAGGTGGTCTCCGCGGTCTCCAGAGGGGCTCTGATTAGAGCTGGCTGAACATTTCCCCCTTTGGTGTGAGAATCCACAGCAGCCACTGGGTGTAACCTGCCCCCACGCTGGGCTCCCGTAACCAGAGGTCAGCTCCAGCCCCAAAGCAGTAGTCTCACCACCCTTCCCTGGACGTTGTGCTCATTCACGCTGGTCGTGCTGCATGTTCCCCTCTGAGGAACCTGCCCGTCACCCGTGGACTCCTGCCCAGCTCTTGGCCTCGGCTATGTCCTGTGGCAGCGGGTTCCACAGACTCATTGCGCCTAGCGGGAAAAGCTTGGGAACCCCCCACCTCACAGTCATTGAGCCCCCCCGGTTATGATGTGGCAACACGTTGGGCTGATGCAGCCAGCTCTGGGCAGCGACCCTCAGAGCCTTCACCACAGCTGCCTCCCATCTAGGAGCCAGGCTCGCATGGGGGCTGGTTTGAGCTCAGGCTAGTGGCTGGACCATGTGTAAGGGTAGTGCAGGCAGTGGGGGGGGTCCAGATACCCCGGGCCGATCCCGCCTCCCCAGGGATATTGTACCCACGTTGCTCACTTTGCACCCAACCCCAAAGGAGGCCATGTGGTGAGATATGCAGGGGTCGAGGAAGCCATTTCTGGGGGGCCGGCGGAGCAGGTGGGGAGGAGGCCAGGTCGTTTCTAAGAGGGGTGTTTGTGTTTCCAGCTTTCAGGGCTGGTTGGCGGGTGCCGCGGTGTCGAGCGACTGCCCTGCGCACGGATCTAGCCCCAGGCTGGGAGGGAGAACAGGCCGGCACCACCCACCACACGCCTGCCACAAGGTATGGGGGGACTGCTGCTCCCTGCTGGGCGGGATGAGTCCTGGGGTGTGCGTGTCTGTCTGTCTGTCTGTCTGTCCCTGCTGCCCCCTGCTGGACGAGATGAGTGCTGCTGCTGCTGCTGTGTGTGTGTGTGTGTGTGTGTGTGTGTGTGTGTGTGTGCACAAAGTGACGCTGCTGCCTGCCCTCTGCTGGCATGGGTTGTCTGTGTAAATTCCTGCTGCCCTCTGCTGGACGAGATGAGTCGTATACTGTGTGTGTGTGTGTGCGTGCGCGCGCGCACGCTGCCCCTTGCTGAAGGCAATGAGATTTACTCAGTATGCATTTGTCCCGCCTGTAGAATGAGTCCTGCTGTGTGTGTGTGTGTGTGTGTGTGTCCCCCTCCTGGCTGCCCCAATGAGAGGGAACGAGCCCTGCGCTTTGTGTGTTTGTGTAAGTCACCCTCAGCGGCCCCTGTGGGCACTGCTGTCTCTGTTTGTGCTGGGACAGGGCATATCACACATTATCACTGCCACAGGCATTTGGGGTACTCTAGCAAGTACCCCCCCAACCACTAGACTGCACTCCCCTCCAAAGAGCCAGAGCTAGAACCCAGGAGTCCTGGCTCTAAGACATCCCGTGTCTCACCCACTAGATCCAATTCACAAACCGACAGGAGGGGCACCGATTGGATATGGTAGGCTCAGGGTCAGGGGCAGCTCTTCCCCTGTAATAGGCACACAGGGGGTGGGGGTCAGCAGTGGGGGCAGCTATTCCTATGCAATGGTGTCACAGACTCACAGGTTGTGCCCACTCTTGGCCCCATGCGGTCCCTGGGGGAACCCCCTTCAGTGTGACAGCCCTTCTCGGGGGTCCACTCTTGGGGGTTAAGACCCTCCGCATCCTGGAACCGCACCTCTCTGAGCCTTAGCACGCCTGTTTCTCTCTGTGGGCCCCCTCAGGGGGTCCACTCGCTCTGGACACCAGGGGCCTTCACTCCCAGAGGAAATAATGCAACCCTGTTCTCTAGACCAAGTGACTGTCAGCCAGCGTAAAACAGGAGAGTTTATTGAGCATCTGAACACAGCATAGGAAACTCTCAGGGCCCTCAGGTCTGGCCTCCCTCAGCACAGCACATCCAAGTCTTCCCTCCATCCAGGTGGGCTCTGCCTGCTCTCTCTCTCCAGTCCCGAGCCCCCTTTGCTTTCCAGCTGGGCATCTGATATCACCTTCCCCAAGCCCCGCCTCTGTCCATTGTCTTCTAACCAGGTAAACAGGGTCGCCTGGGCCTCCTCTCCTCTCCGCCATCCTCTGTCCCCCTCTGGCTGGAACCCACTGGTCAGGTCACCGGGGTTCACAGCCCATTGTCCTCCCACTGGCCGGAGCCATCTGTGACTCCTGAGCTGGGCCTCCCGGTCACCAGGTCACCAGTCGCTGGGGTATCCATTCTGCAGGCCATTGGCTGGGGTCCCAGGTTCTGTCGCAGGTCCTCTGTAACAACAAACTCCCTCTCCCATCACCTTGTTAAACCAGTAACACCCAGGGAAACTGAGTCCCACCCCTTCTGCATGCAAACCATTGAAAAAACAAGGAACCCCCCCACAGTTCGTCACAAATGGCCACATGGGGGCACTGGGGACTAGGAATATTTAGGTATTCACAGGATGTTCTGGGGCTTATTCTCTAACTCTGCCATTATGCCCAGAATCTTTAGCCTTTCCCTCTGTGGTGCTTACTGCATCATTCAGACCTTTTTAAAGCCCTGGGAGTGAGGTCTAGTGGTTGGGGCAGGGGGTCTGGGAGCCAGGACTGCTAGTCCTATCTAGCTGTGGTCTTTTAGAAAGGCTCCAGAGGTGATCCTGGCAATTACAGGCCTAACCTCAGTACCAGGCAAATTGGTTGAAACTATAGTAAAGAACAGAATTGCCAGAAACATAGATGAACATGACTTGTTGGGGAAGAGTCAACATGGCTTTTGTAAAGGGAAATCATGCCTCACCAATCTACTAGAATTCTTTGAGGGGGGTCAAGAAGCATGTGGACAAGGGTGACCCAGTGGATACAGTGTATATGACAGGGATCTGTAAAATCATGACGGTTGTGGAGAAAGTAAATAAGGAAGTGTTATTTACCCCGTCACATAACACAAAAGCTAGTGTCACCTCATGGAATGAATAGGCAGCAGGTTTAAAACAAACAAAAGGAAGTATTTCTTCACACAATGCACAGTCAACCTGTGGAACTCTTTGCCAGAGGATGTTGTGAGGGCCAAGACTATAACAAGGTTCAAAAAAGAACTAGATAAGTTCACTGAGGATAGATCCATCAATGGCTATTAGCCAGGATGGGCAGGGATGATGTCCCTAGCCTCTGTTTGCCAGAAGCTGGGAATGGGCGACAGGGGATGGATCACTTGATGATTACCTGTTCTGTTCATTCCCTCTGGGGCACTGGCACTGGCCACTGTCGGAAGACAGGATAATGGGCTAGATGGACCATTAGTCTGATCCAGTCTGGCCATTCTCATGTTCTTACCCCAGGCTCTGGAAGGAGTGTGATCTAGTGGGTTAGAGCAGGGGGGCTGGGAGCCAGGACTTCTGGGTTCTCTGCTGGCTCTGGGAGGGCAGTGATGTCTAGTGGGTTAGAGCAGGAGTAAGGTCTTTGGGAGCCAGGACTCGTGGGTTCTTGCCTTGTCGTAACCCTGTGGCAGTTGGCCCTCTGTGTAATCATGTGGGGGACAGGTTGTATCCCCCTCCCCTATCCCCATTCTCATTGCCTCTTCCCTCCACCCCTGCAGATGCTGCTCCTGCTGCTGAGTGTGGTGCTAATTCCAGCTCCTGGCTCTGGGGCGCTGGGACTCAACAGCACAACAGGTACATAGGAACCGCTCCCACTCCAGCCTCGCATGCTGAGCCAGACCTACCAGGCTTCTCTGCTCACCCCACCCCCAAAAGCCCCATAATCTACGCCAGGACCCCCCGTGCCGGCGGTGCTCAGTCCCCAAGGAGCTCCCCCCAGACTCCCACATATACCCCTGCATGTACCCCCATGCGCACGCAGACACGCTCAGCTCTGCACTCCTCTCCTCTGTGTACGCATGTGCACACGCTCACACACACTTGGGGATGCACACAGACACAAGCATGGGAAACCCAACAAAAGTACACACGCGCGAGGACGCCTCCCCCTGCACACACACTTGCTCTTCCCCCACCCACCCCGCTCCTGTCCCCCCAGCTCAGCCGGAGGCCCCCCCACCTGACGGTGCCCCGCTCTGCGCCCCCCAGGCTGTGAGATCATCCACCCGCCGCGGGACGGGGGGATCCGGTACCGGGGCCTCACCCCGGACCAGGTGCAGACAGTGCACTTCCTGCCCTTCGACTATGAGATCGAGTATGTGTGCCGGCCCGACCGCGAGATCGTGGGGCCCAAGGTGCGCAAGTGTCTGCCCAACGGGACCTGGACTGAGATGGGCCATGCCAGCCGCTGCCGTGAGTCACCCCCGGCCCCCATGCCCACCCTGGGGACGGGACACAGGGCCTTTCCACCCTCGGGGGCACCAGCTCCGATCTGACCCCAGGGCAAGGGGATTGGCTGGCTCAGAGGGGGGGGGGGGGGGGGGAGGGGGCGTTCCCCCTCCAGGGGGCACTGTGTCCAACCCAGGCCCATGGGGGGGAATGACGGGGGGGCTTGGGGGGGGGGGCAGGGAATGGAGCATGGGGCCTTTCCCCTCTAGGGGGCGCTGGCTTCCATCCGGCCCCAGGCTGGGGGACTGGCTGCCTCAGGGGGGCAGGGAATGGGGCACAAGGCCTTTCCCCTCTAGGGGGCGCTGGCTCCCATCCGGCCTCAGGGTGGGGACTGCCTGGCTCAGGGGGTGGGGAATGGGGCCTGGGGTCTTTCTTCTATAGGGGGCGCTGGCTCCAACCAGGCTGAGGGTGGGGTGTCTCAGGGGGTGGGCTCTGGCTCTGACTGTCCCCCTCCCCGGCAGTGCGGACCTGTCCCAAGATACACCTGAGCTTGGAGAACGGGCAGGCGGTGCCACGCGGCATGGAGCGGGTGCCTGTGGAGGGCACCTGGGTGGAATATCACTGCAACCCCGGCTTCCGCCTGGTGGGTAGCGCCCGCAGCAACTGTACCAAGGTGGGGAGCTGGAGCTTCCCCAAACCTATCTGCGAACGTGAGTCAGGGCACGGGGGGAGGTGAGCAGAGGGGGCCCCTTAGGGGCATGTCTGGGGTGAGTGGGGCAGGGTCTGTGGCTGGGGAGGGGGCAAGGTCCGTCTGTGTGGGTCTCTGGGGTGAGGGGCCTGTGGGGCAGGGTCCGTGGGGTGGGCCAGGGTCTGTGTGTGGGGGTCTCTGGGGTGAGGGGTATGTAGGGCAGGGTCCATTTGGCAGCCCAGAGTCCATGTGTGGGGGGTTGTGAGGAGAGGAGTGTGTGGGGCAGGGTCCATATGTGGGAGTCTCTGGGGAGAGGGATGTGTGGGGCAGGGTCCGTGGGGTGGGGCAGGGTCTGTGTGTGTGTGTCTGTGGGGAGAGGGGTGTGTGGGGCAGGCAGGCCCTCTCAGAGGTCCAGAGAGGCCCAGGCCACTTTCAGCTTTTGAGGCCCCCTAGCCATAATAAAAATAAAAAATGACGACACATGAAAACAAAATAAGGCACCAAAAAAAGCGTGAGACATAATTTGAATATTTTTTTATTTAACAAATGCTTTTCTAGCCTTTTTCTGTGCAAATGCACTAATTGTTGAGGAAAAATCTAGCTTTCGTGCAATGTCACAGTTGATATTAAACATGGCGAGCCCATTCAAATACTCTTGTCCCATAGTTGAATGGTGATAGTTCTTTACCTGCTTCAACATGTTGAAGGTGCGTTCACCTGAAGCCACTGATGCAGGTAAACTGACAAAAATACGCAATGCAATTGTGATATTAGGAAACACCCCAGAACATCCAAAGAGGGGAGGGATAGCTCCATGGTTTGAGCATTGGCCTGCTAAACCCAGGGTTATGAGTTCAATCTTTGAGGGGGCCATTTAGGGATCTAGGGCAAAAATCTGTCTGGGGATTGGTCCTGCTTTGAGCAGGGGGTTGGACTAAATGACCTCCTGAGGTCTCTTCCAACCCTGAGATTCTATGATTTCTTGAAGCAATTCCTTTGGCTTGCAAACCAATTTAAAGTTCATGAAATATATTTGTTTGAGGAAGATGACCTCATCACTAAGATCTTTTGAGATTTCTTCGTTGTACTGTTGCTGAAATTGTTCAGCTGCAGAAAGTAGATCTTCATTACTCAGTCTGTTGAACTGCCAAAGAAACCGAAAAAGGGTACAAATTAGTCACAGTGACTCAAATCGACATGTAAGACCTGATTGAATAGAGTCAATGATGACAAGGAAGACATTGACCCTATAATGCTGCTCGGCATCGGATTCAGTAGGTAAATTGCAATTGGTGAACTCAGATGAAATGTCAATATTCTGTGCTACTAATCTGGATTCAGTCAGGATCACATCCCATTGTTCACGAATCTGTTTAATGTCATTGATAAGACTTTCAATGTTATCCCTCTCAACATCAAGTGTAGCATTGTGTGCTTCAATTACCAGATGAGTTTGGTGGATCATTGTAAGTAGCTTCATCCACAAAGATGACATCAGAATGCATTCAAATTTGGACATGTGCTTCTGAATAGGCTGAAGTTCAGTTCGAGCCTGTGCAGTGAGATTGAGAGATTCAAGCTCATTTAAAGCCTTTCTCACTGAATTCAAATGCTGCGCAACTGGTTGAACACCATCAATCCATGCAGACCATCTAGTTTTGGACATCCCATGCAGTGAAACAGGAAGATATTGCTTCAGCATTTCCCACCTTTGTGGACTGCTACTGAAGAGATTGTACATTTGCTGAACAGTTCCAAAGTAAGTAATTGCCTCCTTGCATGATTCAGCACAGTCAACACCTACAAGGTTTAGCGTGTGGTTTCCACAGCTGGAGAAAATACAGTCTGAATTATGCTCAGGCAGAACTACTTGTACACCTTTGTACTTCCCAGCCATATTAGATCCATTGTCATAGGCTTCACCAATGCAGACTTGAAAATCTAACTTAAAACCTTCTAGAATTGCTAGTACTCAAGCAGCAATTTCTTTTTCAGTTTTTCTCGTGAAATTATCAAACAAAATAAACCTTTCTTCAATTGAAAATTTTCAGCTGTCTACAATCTTAACATACCAAATAACTATAGTAGTCTGTTCCTTGTGAGAACAATCTGGAGTGACATCAACAATGATTGAAAATACTTGGCATTTTGAATCTCATCAAGAATTGTTGTTTGTACGAATGACCCACATACCTCAATAAACGTATTTTGTATGCGTGTGGAGAGATAATGGACTTGCACGCGCTTTTGACTCTCTTGCAATTCTCAAACACGTTTAACATCATTAATGATCTGGAGGATGGCGTGGACTGCACTCTCAGCAAGTTTGCAGATGACACTAAACTGGGAGGAGTGGTAGATACGCTGGAGGGTAGGGATAGGATACAGAGGGACCTAGACAAATTAGAGGATTGGGCCAAAAGAAACCTGATGAGGTTCAACAAGGACAAGTGCAGAGTCCTGCAATTAGGACGGAAGACTCCCATGCACTATTACAGACTAGGGACCGAATGGCTAGGAAGCAGTTCTGCAGAAAAGGACCTAGGGGTTACAGTGGACGAGAAGCTGGATATGAGTCAACAGTGTGCCCTTGTTGCCAAGAAGGCTAACGGCATTTTGGGCTGTATAAGTAGGGGCATTGCCAGTAGATCGAGGGACGTGATTGTTCCCCTCTATTTGGCATTGGTGAGGCCTCATCTGGAGTACTGTGTCCAGTTTTGGGCCCCACACTACAAGAAGGATGTGGAAAAATTGGAAAGAGTCCAGCAGAGGGCAAAAAAAATGATTAGAGGGCTGGAGCACATGACTTATGAGGAGAGGCTGAGGGAACTGGGATTATTTAGTCTGCAGAAGAGAAGAATGAGGGGGGATTTGATAGCTGCTTTCAACTACCTGAAAGGGGGTTCCAAAGAGGATGGATCTAGACTGTTCTCAGTGGTAGCAGATGACAGAACAAGGAGTAATGGTCTCAAGTTGCAGTGGGGGAGGTTTAGGTTGGATATTAGGAAAAACTTTTTCACTAGGAGGGTGGTGAAGCACTGGAATGGGTTACCTAGGGAGGTGGTGGAATCTCCTTCCTTAGAGGTTTTTAAGGTCAGGCTTGACAAAGCCCTGGCTGGGATGATTTAGTTGGGAATTGGTCCTGCTTTGAGCAGGGTGTTGGACTAGATGACCTCCTGAGGTCCCTTCCAACCCTGATATTCTATGATTCTAACATGCGCTGATAAAAGTGGGTCATATTTGCTGCGGAACTCAACTATGCCTAGAAAGTTTCCATTTGCACGATCACCAATATGTTGACTGGAACCAAAGAAAGCCAATACCCACTCAGAAAGAAAAAGGATGATATTCAGGATGTGCTCAAGAAGTTTTTTCCAGTTATTAGTTTCTGTAGAGAGTTCAGTCAAGAGTAAATTCTCAACTGAACTTTCAGCTGATGCTGCCCTACTGGCTGATTTCCATGCAACATAGTTTTCTTTGTGTGACGTTGAACTCTCATGTGATGGTATTCGGTCTTTCAACTTCCTCCAACCTCTGTTGATGCTCCATTCTGATTGATCAGAGAGAACTGATGTATTTGTAGCTTTTTTGTTCAAAATGAACCAGGTTGCACAGTACAGAGATTGTTTTTCCGTACTCCAGCATAACCAGTCTCTTGTGCAGGTCTCACCTTTGGAAGAGTTTTTGAGTGTCAGCAGACAAGTAGGGAAAGCAAGATTATCAGCATCTCGTGGAATGTTACTTGGAATTTCAAAACAACTAATTTGAAGAAAAGACTGCATTTGGGCAGCATTGCTCTTGTCAATAATTCCAGTGTCAGTCACAGTCAAACCTGTAGTAATCATGAATTACTCTTGCTGTGTAAGATCTACATCTTCCTGTTGCGGTTGAGTTTCTTGACCGTACACAGGATCTTCTGCTGCATCTTTTACTGTTGGCACATCTTCTTCTTGACTACTGTCCTCATGTTCAGGTATTGGCATTGAAATATCACCTGTTGCAGTTGCGGAGTTTTCATTATCTGTAGCATTGTTTGTTGGGTAAGGTGTGTTTTCCAGTGGTTTGAGAAATGAAGTTACTGGCTTTGAGCTCTTAGCTGCTGCTTCACTCAGTTGTTTTCTCCATCTCTTGCTTGCACCATTTTCAAATCTCCTTTTCATAGTGATCTATCTGGTCAATATGTAGCCTATCCACACTTGAAATATTCTGCTGTAAATAAGTAGCTTATCTACACTTGAAATCTTCCACTGTAAACATGTACACAAATGCTGAAAAGACTTAAAACGAAGGAATACTAATGAAGAACACAAAATGAAACAGTCAGACAAGTTATTATCCTTATCACTGAATCAAAACTCAAGCACGCAAGGTATAATATAACAGGCTGAGCTGAAGACAAAGGGATGACATATATATAGTAAACACAGACACAGATACAGACGGAGGGATAATGTCCAAAAATTTCAAACGTGTCCCCTCACCAAACTCACTGTACAAATTTGTCCTCAAAAATGTTCACCTTGAATCTGGGCCTATAGACTACGAAAGCCTATGATGATGGCCAAGCTACTGAGCTAGGGCTCAACCAACCAACCAACCAGTCATCTCTTTTAGCTACCATATGAAGATAATAATGAGGAATTCTCACACATAAATAATTCCTTAGTCAACTAGACATAAAACTATAAAGACACTAAAATATAACAATTCTCTACCTTTCAATACGCACTTGATCCAGCACCAGCCACTAGTAGTGGTTTGTTTATATAATCAGCTGATCTGAGAGGACACATTCATCACGGTCTAATCTTGTGCCATTAGAACCGATATATTTTTATTAATATTTATTGAACATTTTTAACTCTTTAATATGACAAAATCTATATCAGTTAACAAAAAAATTGTCTTTTACCAAATCACATCTCTTATTTGCTTAAATTTGCAGCTCTAAGCTGAGAGTGTGTGTCACATTTTGGTCCGATAGGGATGTGCATAAAAATAAGTTGTGAAACTTATCAAATGCCAAAAAATTAACAGGCGTCTACATT